GCTCTTCTTTATTTGAGGTTTTACAGCAAAAAAAGGCCAAAAAATGACCTCTCTGAGCCAGAATCATCTAGATAAAACAAATGAACAAGATATCCCACATAAATCGCATTAGGAATCACAGAAGAATTTAATTATTAGAATAACTCTGGCTTGCTGAATAGACAGTTGCATAACCTGCTCATTGTCACATTTTCACATAAGTTTATTATCTCCTGTTTTATTTGAAATGCTCTATTTTCATCACAGGATACAAGATGATCCTAAAAGATGTTTCACAGTTACATATCGACACTGACACTGTCCAATTGTTGATCAAGGCTTTTAAGCAATGAATAAAAATAGCTTGCAGCAAGTAAGGGAAACTTCAATTTTTACTTCAAGGGAAGCTTTGACTGAAGAAGCATATAGCCATTAAAAACTATGAACACAATCCAGGATTAAAGTTGACTAAGATCAAAACTAAGATCAGTCTTGATTTAAATAACAACAAAAGAATCAGCCCACACTGACTTAAAAATTTTCATCCATACCCATACCCAAATACTACAAAGCAGATATACAGAAGGAAACTAATGATTTCATCCTAACTTCCTTCTTGATTGTTTTCTTTACCTAGAATTTGGCCCTTAGAGATATTTCTCTCGAAAAAAAAAACCCCACCCACCTAAATCCAACATAACCATAATCATTCATTACCCCATTGATTAAAAAACACAAGCCACCAACCCTCTCCCTGTATCTTATGCAGTGTTTTGAACTCCAGATAAATGTTAGCTGAAATAATAAAAAACTGAATAAATTAGGAAGAAAGAAAAATAGATCCTGTTCTCCATCAGCATTCCAGGGAAAAGAGTTAAAGCCTTGCATAATTTTAAGTCACGTAATAAAGCATCGCCAGAATAAAGTATATGCTGCATTCTACCTTCAAATAAGAAGGCTTTGATTCCTTTTAAGCAGCGCTGGTAAGCTTGCTCTTCCCTTTAGTCTCTTCTACTTCATCTAGCTAAGTCTGCATTTTTGCTGGTATGACAGCAAGACTCTTCCCCCTCCAAGATAAAATGTAACGCTTCAGAGTTAAGAATCTGAATATATGGTTACTACACAAAAAGGTTTATGGCAAGAACCCACGTAGCAAATCAAAAGTCAACTGACAATAACAGCAAGACAATTATGCTTTATAAAGCATCATGGCAGCCCACATTAATGAAGTTTATGGTTACAGTCATTTCATATTTATAGCATGGAATAGAAATACATACTGTAAAATAAATTAACTTATATCATAGTAAAATCTTCCTTCTTGTTCTAAAATATTACACTGAAATTAATCAGTCGATTTTAAACCCTTACAACTATTACAAAAAGAAAGGGGCAAATCAAGAACCACCACCCATCTATTTGGTGAGGGATCAATAACATGGCTTTCCTTCCACTTCCTAATCTACAATTTAACCAGTGATGATTACTCTCTGACAGAAGAATTTTTCAGTACGACTGTTGTTTGAAAAAAGTGAATTTTACCACACCAAAAGCCACTGCATTTCTCCTGGAAGTTTTTTTTCAAATAGGTATGGTACTATTATCTACAATGATAGTACAATTCAGAATTTGAAAACAAATTAGACACATATTAGAATTACGGGTTTGCACAGCTAACACATCTATTACTAAGTATTTTATATACCCCCATTTTTTAATTCTAAAAGTTATTTATCCAAGCTGTAATGAGAGGACGAAGTCTGAAACCCCAAGACACACAAAATAAAACAAATTTTTAATGATTTTTCTTTTCATTTAGGATTCTTAAAATTGCATTATTTAAAAGTAATTTTCTTTTTTACAGATGAGAAGAGAAATAAAGACTATCTTTGATGAGCAACCTGATCTAGTTAGCGGTGTCCCTGCTCACTGCAGGGGGGTTGGACTAGATGACCTCTAGGGGTCCCTTCCAACCCAAAACATTCTACGATTCTATGACTTCTGGACATGCATGTGAGTCTGAACAAAACTTTTAGCTAGAAACAAAAGACTTTAATATCTATCCGCTGAATTCCAATGCAGACACTTACAAGAAGGACTAAGAACACGCCATGACTTCCAGTGAATACCAGTGAGTTATATTCAACACTGGCTTAGATGAATTTGCTACTCTGCTGCCCGGATGACTTGATCTGTTCATGCCAACCTGTACACTGTATCTTTATTTTTCTGTTCGTAACAGTTAATGTATAGACAATTGTTTTACCTGTATTCTGTAGTTCAACAGCTTTGGATTTTCAGATAAGGTAGACTGAAAGCTGACTCTTCCTTTCAAAATTCAAATGAAGTCAGTACTCTAATTGAAATTTTAAACAAGAGCTTGCTGAAATATGTCCCTGAACAGTATGAATCACAGATGCTTTTAATTGTAAGGAGCTCTGAGTACTGAGGTACCGCCAATATTTTACATGACTGGCTTCCTCAGAGCTTTTCCACCTCTGTCAGCAGTGCATGACGCATCCCTGAAAGATCATGCTTATGCCTCCTCAATACCCCCTCTCCAAAAGAGCATTCACTTAACCTTTTCCTCCACGCAAATCCAGTTACCAACTCAGAAATTCTCCAGCCACCATCCGAGCAAGACTCTCCAGACCGCTGGCCTTCACAAACCAGTCAGCGGTCGCAGAGAGCTGCCTTGCAGATTCTGCTGCGACTCTCAGCAGGCAAGTAAGTGCCTTGCACTTTGCAGTCCATTTTACGAGGCTGTGCAACCAGACAGCAGCAGACAGGCAGAGGACAGAACTCCCGCAGCGCAGGGACAGCAGAAGGGAGGAAGGGAATCCCTCGTGCAGGCATCTGTCACAGCGGTATTTGCCTCTTGCAGTGCAGCCAAGAGAGCCAGTCGGCAAGCTGCAAGAGAATGTCTTGCCCCCTTCACATTAACAAAGCTTATTCCAATCAACAGTTGTCACAACACTACACTCAAAGTGCAGCTTAATAGCTTTTGTTTCCAAAATTAAATTGGAATCATAACCTAAGAATCATAACTCTTACCAGAACACCACTGTTATAATCAGTTCATCCTCTGTAACAAGTTTCATTCTACTTACATACCTCTCCTTGCTGAAGAGCTGCCTTTAACTGTACCTAAAATATCTGGACATTAAAAGGAACAAAGTCACGGAGATTTAAGTGGAGGGCATCTGAATAATGCTCAAATTTAAAAAAAACAAAAACAAAAAAACCCCAACACACCACAAAACCCCCACCCATTCAGTAAATACTCCCATAGCACCAAGAAGCAGAAACTCTCTCTACTGAGCAGATTCTGCACGAACACCTAACTTTCAATTAGGGAAGGGAAACTGTTCTGCTTAAAACAAGCAAACAGTACACAGAAGCTCTTTAAATGCTTTACATACAGTAAAGATTTAGTTAAAAGTCAGTACTCAATTGAGAGAAGACTTAACACAACAGAAAGAGTATTTTTCCACACAGCACAGAAGGCCTGCAAATATTTACACTTCATACAATCCCTAACATTATTCAGTTTGAGTAAATTCCATAAAACTAATTTCCTCAAAAAAACCACCAACCAAAAAACCCTACAAAACCCAACCCCTCCCCCACAAAACACAAACCCTCCACAAAAATTTTCATCTTCCAAACTAAAAACTACTCCTTGAAGACACTAATGTTCCCCAAATGCAGAAGTTAGGCAGCTGATCACTAGCGAAAAACATTATCACGACCGAGTGCATCAACTGTTTCACTCTGATCATTTGTATTAGGATAGCACTTAAAAAAACCCAAACCAAACAAACAAAACCCAGCACCAGCTTCCAGAACACGCAGCATCAGAGGAAAGCCTGTTGACTGAAGGCTGAAACCATCAATTCACAGGTTGGGTAAAGCAGAACAAGGACTCGCTCTCAGCACAGTTCCAGTTGTGAATGCAAATACGCGTTGCAGTCTGTGAGCAGGTTTCCTAAATCACTGTAAGTATTGACCACTTGTGTACAAAACCAAAAACCCATCCACATGACCAAAAAAACCCCACACCAATCAACTACAAATACTTTCATTTGATGCAGTAACTTTTTTGATAAGTTCAAAGATGCCAAAGGCTGAAAGAGTTCGTATTAAGTTGTTCTACAACCTTCTGTGCTCACTGTTTGCCTGGAAGCAATACCTGGAGCAAGCAACTGCCATAAACTGTGGCAAGACCAGGGGTTTGCACACCAGGAGCAACAGAGGAGTAGTCAGAAGCAGCACCTCTCAGAAAACTCATCTATTCTACAAATCCCCAAACTCCCTTCTGTGCCTAGAGTTACACATAAAGCTCTTTGGGACAAGTATGACATATTGAAGTTACTGCCCTTCTAGCAGCTTGCAAACAAAACCCACCTTCTCCCTCCTCTGCATGAGTAAGTGCTCTGGATCACATCTGTCAACCTGAAGGATTATTACAAGTCATTAATGTTCTGCTGTTAACAGTAACTAAATTGGCAGCATTTAAAAATCACAGCAAGGCAATCTGCAATCCCTTGTTGGCGTTTAAGTAGAGCTTTGAAAAATTGTGGCGTTTTTACCCACTGTGACCCGAGAAGAGCAAAATGCCACTCCACCTAAAAAACCACAGACAACTCTTAATAAAAAAAACCCAAAACAACAGCAACAACCCCCAAAAAATATATCAAAAAAAAAAAATCTAAACCACCAAAAAAAGCCCAAAATAGCCAAAACAAACACAAACACTGCCCCAGACAACAGAGTCATAAGTTGAGGAAGTTGAAGATGACTGCAAAGGTAGAGAAGGCCTTTAGCAGGAACAGTTTCAAATGACAGACTAAATCAAATTGCTAGAAAAATTTAAGTGTAACTCAAAAAAAACCTGAAGTTAGGATCAACACGTTTCAGTACAAGAAAGTACAATAAGCAGAATTGTACATAACTGAGTTTTACTCCCAGAAAAGTCAGACCTATGAGTCAGCCACAAGATGTTAGCAAAGCAAAAATGACTGCTTTGTCTCCTTCTTCAGCACATATTAATTCTCTCTCCCTCCTTCCCTCCCCCTACATGCAGCAGGTCAAGACCTTTCTTCCTCAAGTTCATCCAAAAAATGTTGAAGATTTTTAGCTGAGTCAAGAGGCAAGTCATTCCTTCGTATTTTATTTTAGAACAGTTTAGGGTTTGTTGTTTAAAGCATTCCCTGCCAGGGGAAAAAAGATTATCCATTACCACCCAGTAATAAGCAACCCTCATAAGCTCTAGAGCTCAGACTTTCACTTTGGATAAAAAAAAAAAAAAAAAAAAAAAGCCAAAATCCCCCCCATACATGTAAAACATTTTTCAGTGATGAGCTTGTCCTCCGCTACCATCTCTTGAACTTCTGTCTCAGGTTCTTTCTAGAAAGAGCAAGCATAGTAGTACTGCTTAGATTTTTGTGGAGTATGTCTTGTTCCGTAATCTGCTCAAGTGTTCACCACAGTATTTGACCTCAAGACTACTGGAGAACTTTGCTGGGAGGAAAGATCACACTCAGCTCTGTGTCAGCAGGCCATCAGGCTTCATAGGTGCCCTTCTCAAAATGCTGTGTACACTCACCTGTGCTGGAAAGCAGAAGCAAGACAGAGGTGAGGGAAAGAATGCTAGAGTTCATACTATTGGAAGATTGTCTTTCCCCTCACACTCTTTTTACAGTTTACCCTCATGTCCTCCTACCGTGCTCCTATGATTTTCTCTTCCTACATAGGAGGTCTACTCCATCCCTTAGTTTCTGGGGCTATGTCACACACACACCACCACCCCCCCCCCATAAGGCTTTATACAGTAATCTCCAAAATACAGACTCCAGAAACAGAAGATTCTCACAGTTCAGAGATACTTTCAGATGCACAACCACAATCTGACTACTACACCCAAAGCTTGTGGTAGAAGTCTGCAGAGGAAATTAATTTTACAGTGGTAAGGTAGCCAAGTTCAATGGAAAAAAAATCCTCAGCTGTTGTTATCCACTATCACTCTGTGCTCTTGACTATAGAAGGAGAAATCAAAATGCTGCTAGGACTTAAAGAAGCAAGTGTCAACCATGTAATTATCTTCCTTGCCTCTTCTTGCACCTTCACTTTTCCTCTGTAGAAATATTGGAAAGGCAACGGATACTGAGAATTCTCAAGAGTCATTTTCAAAACAATATACACTTAGAAAACTGGAGACAATATCTTTCTTAGAGGAAGTTCTACATTAAGCTCAACAAATAGTCCAAGAAAGAAGCCCTTGCATACAATGTTAGTCTTTCAGCATTCCTAAATGAAAGTTAAAGAAAGCAATTCCATAAAACCTCGCCTTCAATGAACTCATGTGTTTCTGGCCGTTCATGTTTGTTTACCACAAAGAAGATTGCATAGGAAAGCCAACAGTTACATGATAATGGTATAGCACAACACCAAGGCACACGACTGAAATATTCACAGTGCACCACTTCAAGAAGCTATCCAAACCGTCGCAGGCTCATTTAGAAGATTGTTCCAAAAATCATTTAAGTATTCAGGAAGCATTTTTATGCCTTCAAAGTGGTGTTTGCACAATCACCTTAATGATTTCCCCAAAGACCGGATATCACGTATCACTATCAGTCACGTAACAGAACCCGAGAGGAATGCTGAAGTACAGCACAAGCAAGCAAAGCCCAACCAAAATACTCAGCAAAGCTAGACATAAAAATCAAGAAGCCTTGAGTGCCAAGTCCCTCTTTGGCTTTTTAAGTCATCATGGCTCTCAAGCCCTGCAGCTGTTTTCTCTACAGGTCTCTCCCCATTAGTTATACAGTAAAAAAGGATGATAAAATAGAATGTGTAATTTTTATTCACCTCCACAAAGAAATAAGCAGTAATTCACCTGGTGGGAAGCATCTGGGATGAAAGACAGCCAACTAGACCTAGCGAAGCCTATCTTCATACAGAGCAGTTTGACAAGTAGAACGATAGGACAAAGTTGGAGGGAATTAATATAAGGAAACGCATATGCGTGAACAACATTCCCTTATAGTTTACACTGTAGGAACTACAGGAATGATGTTCACACACATGCATTCCCTTGAACCTACACTTCTTTCTTTTTAACCTAAAGCTCTGAAAAATGTAAAGGCCAAATTAACCTTCACGGCCATAGACCACTGCCGAATCTGAAGTTTCCATGTTGGAGAAGACTGCATACAACTATGTAATAATTCCACCATTTCTCATACAATCATATTACAAGGAGTAATAAAAGATGTGCTCATATTTATGCATTTCCCTCATATAATCAATAGGCAAAAGATGAAGCAAGCTGTACCCTTTCCTTTTGCCAGTTAAACTCCCCAAAACCTCCTCCAAAAAACCAGCTTTCTTCACAGTTCTCCACTACACAGATACATAGATATACACACGAATATATATATATGTGTGTGTGTGTGCACGCGTGCAAAGAGAAATTCAGAAGCATTTGTCCTTCCTCTGGATCTACTAACACTTACAAGCTTTCTTAATAAGCAAGAGAAAATACCATACCACACCACATCCAAAACAGCAAATAAGGTTACCAAAGCACTCAAAATTCAACACTTTCAGGTTTTTCAACATTTAAAACTTCTAAAGTGAGCTTGAAGTACAGCTAATTAAAGTGTTCTGCTTCAAATGAAAGCAAAGAACACCACATATTCCGCTCTACCTACATATATAAAACATAAAGCAAATTATCTGGATTTGCATATTGAAAGGTCAAAAAAGAGTTACAACATGCTCCCAGTTACGCAAGAATACACGGTGTTTGTTAAGTACTACAGTTACGGCTGGAGAACAATTCAACAGAAGGAATTTTACTGGCAACACACAGACTTCTAGCTCTCTAATTTTTTTTCTTTTTTCAAAGAAAAAAAAAAAAAGAGGGAAAAAGTCAGTAGCACACAGCAAATGAGCGACTTTTCTGTGCACTTTCACGTGTACTGTGCCTCCTAAGAGGGATTTCAGCACTTCATAATACAGTAAGGCACTTCAAAGAATCAAACTGCTTAATAACGCTGACAAGAGATGGACCTACCAAAAAATTTCCATATCACGTTCACAGTAACACATGCAAACGGCTTCTTCCAGCAATGCCGCCGGCAAACCCACTTCCAGCTAAGAGACATACGAGGTCTACTGCTATGAAACTATTGCTAACACGCTGACACGCGCTATGACTCTAACACGTCGCGTTTGCAGACACAAACGCAGCGCTACGGAACTGTTTCTGCGTGCCTCCCCGGCTCCACCGCGGGTACTTACAGCGGCGGAGCAGCGGCGGCCGGCCAGCCTCCCCGGACACACCGCAGCTGCGGAACAAAGACACCAGAAGCGCTGGGAGCTCCCGAAGCAAGTTAGCCCGCCCGCACGGAAACTCGCCCATTTACCCGGCTC